AATTATATTATATGAACTATAATTACAACTATACATAGGGAAGTATATATACAAGAGGAATCATAGGAAGATTAGGATAGGGAGTCGTATAATGACTCAAATACAAAGTCATAATACTAGTCCTAATACTCCTCCTTAAGCGCATGGTATACTTGTAACCTGTGGCTTGTCTCTAAGAAAAGAAAATCTAGGACCAGGCAATGCTTTGGCGAATATGTTTGCAAGTTGATCTTTAGTTGAGATGAAATTAACTTGTATTTCTCCAGCAACAACTTTATCTCTCACGAAATGGTAGTCTATTTCTACGTGTTTGGTGCGTGCATGAAATATGAGATTGGTGCATATATATGTAGCTCCAAGATTATCACACCATAACTTTGGAACAGGAATATTTGGGACATGAAGTTCATGTAAAAGAGACATAATACATGGGTACCTCAGCACAAACATCTGCTAGAGCTTTATATTAGGCCTCTGTAGAAGATCTAGCAACAATTCTTTGTTTCTTGCAGACCATGACACAAGATTAGAACCAAGAAATACAGCAAAGCCACTTGTAGATTTTCTATCTTCTGCACAGCCAGCCCAATCGGAATCAGAAAAGGCATGAATTTCTCTTGAAGTTGACTGCCTGACTCGTAAACCAAAATTAATAGTTCCTTTAACATATCTTAAGACTCTTTTTAGATGCCCCCAGTGAGTAATGGTAGGAGCATGCATGTTTTGACATAACTGATTGACGACAAAGGAAAGATCAGGACGAGTGATAGTTAATACTGTAGAGCACCTGCTAAACTCCTGTACTGTGTGGCATCATCATATAAATCTGTGTTGGTACTCACGATTTTGGAGGAAGAAATAGGAGTAGACAATGGTTTACATTCTGCCATTCCAGCACGTTTTAGAATGTCATGCATGTATCTCTGTTGCAAAAGCAAAATTCCATCCCTGCATTTAATTGCCTCAATTCCAAGAAAAAATCCTGGTTCACCAAGATCTCTAATTTTAAACACAGATGAGAGTTTTGCAATTAGCGGAGTGATTAGGTCCTGATTATTTCCTATCATAAGTATATCATCCACATAAACCAACAGATATACACAATCAGATCCTTGTGAGTGATAAAATAGAGACACATCCGTTTTCGATGCCTGAAAACCAATAGATAGTAGAAAAGTTTGCAAACGATTAAACCAAGCCCTAGGGGCTTGTTTTAGGCCATAAAGAGATCTTTTCAGTAAGCAAACATGATTTGGATGATGAGCATCAATATAACCAGGTGGTTACTTCATGTACACAGTCTCAGATAGATTTCCATTTAAGAAGACATTATGAACATCAAGTTGTATAATAAACCATCCAGACGATAGAGCTAGAGAAAGGAGTAACCTGATTGTGGTTGGTTTAACCATTGGACTAAAAGTATCAAAGAAATCCTGACCTGGCACCTGGTTAAACTCCTTTGCTACAAGTCTTGCCTTATGACTCTCAATGGAGCCATTTGCCTTTCGTTTTGTACGAAAGACCCATTTGCACCCAATAATGTTCAAACCTGGCTGAGACGGCACAAGTTGCCATGTCTGATTTTGTAGAAGGACATTAAATTCTTGGTCCATAGCCTCACGCCATTCTTGAAACTTAATTGCATGTGTATAACAAGTAGGATCTGAAGGACACACCTGAACCGTTAAAGCCGTTGGAGGAGCCTAAGAGCGACTGCGGGTGTTCATCTCGTGAGTTCAAACTGTGGATTTAACGGATTTACCTCGAGGACGACCGCGAGGCCACTTGGCAGGTTGAGGTTTGTGCTCGGGCACATCTGGCGGGTTAGCATCGGTGTGAGGCGGTGTGTCGTCGCTGCTATGCGGATCAGAAGGTGCCGCTGGTGGAATCGGGACATTCCCGCGGGGAGGAGCAGCTGGTGGCATGTGATGAAGAACAGATTCAGCCCAGGGAACATTTTGCACAAGTTGCGAAGACTGCACAGTAGTGTTAGTAGCAAAAGGATAAATTGTCTCATCAAACCTTACATGCCTGTACACATAAATCTTGTTAGTCTGTAAGTCCATGCACCTATACCCCCGAAACGACTCAGGATAACCTAGGAAAACACATGGAGAGGACCGGTATGAGAGTTTGTGACGATTATATGGCCTGAGATATGGATAACATAGACACCCAAAGACACGAAGAAAAGAATATGAGGGATTGGAAGCATGCACTTTAAAGTGAGGACTCATATTATTTAATACGACAGATAACATTTTATTGATTAAATAAACTGCAGTTTCAAAGGCATAATCCCATAATTTATATGGAACAAAGGCACGAGCTAGAAAAGCCAGACATGTTTCAACTATGTGTCTATGTTTTCTTTCGACACGACCGTTTTATTCATGGGTGTAGGTACAGGATTGCCTATGAACGATACCTAATTGAGTAAAGGAATGATGTAATTTCTTGTATTCAGCTCCTAAATCAGATTGAATGGCTTTAATCTTTCTATTAAAAAGTCATTCAACCATTGTACGAAATTTATCAAATATGACATATAGATCATATTTTAATTTCATGGAAAAATACCAAGTATAGCGAGTATAATCATCCACGAAAATAACAAAATAACGATAGCCATCAATTGATAAAAGATGAGTTGGCCCCAAATATCTGTGTATATTAAGTCAAGAACACTAGAACTAGAAGACGCAACATGTGCCAATGGGAATCGAGAGGATTTGCTCAATTGACACGCATTACATAGACTAGAATTGCATTGAATAGAATTACTAGACCCACTAACCGAACAAGACTGAAGAATGCAAAGTAAAACACGATGATGTGGATATCCTAAACGATCATGCCACACTGACGAAGTAGTACGAGGTGAAAGGAGAGCAGAAGGAGATGTTTTGGTAATTGGGAGTCTGTAAAGGCCCCCATGACTATAGCCTTTAAGCAGAATATCTTTGGTGTTGATATCCTTTACAACAAAAAATGATGGGTGAAACTCAAAGAATATTTTATTATCTAAGTCAAATTTGTGTACAGATAATAAAGATGTAAACACACTAGGAACATGAAGGATATTAGACAATTGGAAAGAACGAGATGTGGTATTAAAGGAAGCATGACCTACATGACTAATTGAAAGGCACTTACCATCACCAACACGTAATGTGTCGTTACCCGCGTATTCTTATGGTGTAGATAGGGCTGCAATATCTGAAGTTACATGATTGGTAACCTCAGTTTACAACTTAATCCCATTAATTTTCGAAATGGACCACCCTAAATGGATTTATGTTTGTACTTGGTTGGCAGTTTGACATGCAAGAATCAGTTGAAGATATGATGGAGTATGTAGGGGTTTAATTCTTAAATTGTTCTCCCTGTATTGAAATAATTAAATCACGGAAATGAGAACCAAATGAACTGGATGTCCCTTCCATTGCCGAAGAGAAGAGAGAAAGGCTGGCAAATATATTTGGGGCAGATAGATAGATAGATGAAATAAAAATTTAATGGAATTTGATAATAATGGGATTATAATTCCATTATACCAAACAACTCATTACTATTATAGATGAAAATAACAGTCAAAGCTAACCCTGGCGTGAATCCCAAAATACTGTGCCAATATTCTTTACATTATCAACTGTTAAAACCCCAAGAAACTACAATTACTTTTCAATTGCAGTAATTCATGCTGAAAAGATTCCACAAATTTGCAATGCAGAAACAAAAGCGCAAAACCCAATTAAGTGATTGATTAAAGTATTATTAGTTGGGCAATAGAAATTAGAAATAAAAAAACAAAAATCACGCACTTGCTCTGTCTTGTGTTCCTCCCATTCCACAGAGGACAACCGGTTTTCTAGTATTACTATGAGTCTATGACCCTTAGCTTATCTTGTCCCTTGGACAACATTTCAAGCTTATTGCCTGCCAGCCAGCAATGCCAGCATAGTTTAATTTTATTGAAATCTGTCATATACATATCTTGAGTGGAGAACGATAAAGAGCAAAGTCTATTAATTGATGGCTGCTAGAGAATTATTGGGCGGAAGTCATTGAAGGGTCAAGTCCAGCACCTTGTTTTTAGAAAATGTGATAATGGTATATACGAAAATAAAATTTCTTCTTTGCAAGTAGTTATAGCTTTTGACGTAGTAGTATACGCAATAATACGCTTAATCCTAACAAGTGCTATCAGAGCCAGGTGCTAGGAGAGAGAATTGTTGGGCGGAAGCCGGTGAAAGATCAAGTCTCACCTTGCATTGAAAAACTACTAGCTATAACTTTTGATAGAGTGGTAAGCGTTTGATCATAATATACTTGCACATTTTATATTTATTGAATTCTGTCATATACATATGTTGGGCGGAGACCAGTAAAGAGCCAAGTCTATCAATTGGGGGCTAGTGGATTATTTGACGGAAGTCAGAGAAGGGTCAAGTCCAACACCTTGTCTCTAGAAAATATGATGGCGGTATATAAGGAAATAAAATTATTTTTCTCGCAAGTAGCTAGGGGTGGGCAGAATTTGGATTATCCAAAGTAACACCCGATGTAAAAATTCAGGTATCACCCGAACCGAACCGACGCCCACCCCTACAAGTAGCTATAGCTTTTGGCGTAGTGGTATACGCTTGATCCTAGCTAGTGTGCTGGGAGAGAAAATTGTTGGATGGAAGCCGGTGATGGACCAAGTCCAGCACCTTGCTTCTGAAAAACTAGTACTTATAACTTTTAGCGTAGTGATAAGCGTTTGATCCTAACAATCTAGCACAGTTTAATTTTATTGGAATTTGTCATATACTACCACATTACATGCATTTTCGACTATATATATGATTGGAGTTTAATTTGTTCATTATCTGTTGCATGATGGATATTATCGTCAAAGGAATTAATTATTAGAGAAGAAACTAACTGAGTTGCATATATGTTTGGATAAATTGAGAAGCCCATGTTCGTTTTACAGCTAAGTGTTAAGATTTTGATTAAATTAGTTCAGTATTGTTGCAGCTGTAATCTGACATTATGAGTTAATGACAGTGTGTGTCTGTGTTTTTTTCTCTCTTAGCTTTTAATTTGTTGGGTGGAAAATAATGCATATATATATGTTTGAGTTGTACTGTACTGTGTTGGTATTGTTCATGGCATGCAATATCTTTGTTGGAACTGTCATCACAATTAAAAATTAAGATATTGTCTTAGTCTCTTAGAGTACATGTTATGTTAGCAAAATGGTACATTATCAAACAACAATAAAAATAATATTATGGATTATTAAATATGAGTGTATATTGTTGGTCTCGGTGAAGGTTAGGTTACAAGTCTAGAGAGGTGAATAAGACTTATATAATTTTTAAAAACTTTTAGGATTCGTTAAAGTACCCAAAAGGTAACTTTCACATTTCCACGTTATTTTACTTCATAGTTCACGCTGTTACATGGACCATTGTCTATAGAAAAATTTACACTAGGAGCTAGGACTTTTGAGATGCAATCATTATTGTGTGGACCATGGTCCACACAAGCAGAGTGTTAGGGTCGTGGACCCGTATCCACCATGTGCATGGTGGACACGCTGTACATTCATAATTTCTATACTGTAGTGTCATAATTTCTATACTGTAGATTCATAAAATTTATAAAGTAGATTCATAAAATTTATAAAGTAGATTCATAATTTCTATACTGCACATTCATAATTTCTGTACAGTAGGTTCATAATTTCTGTACTGTAGATTCATAATTTCTATACTGTAGATTCATAAAATTTATAATGTAGATTCATAATTTCTATACTGCACATTCATAATTTCTGTACTGTAGATTCATAATTTGATAACTATACAGTTTAGAAATTATGAATATACAGTACAGAAATTATGAATCTATAGTACAGAAATTATGAATCTACATTATAAATTTTATGAATCTACAGTTTAAAAATTATGAATTTACAGTATAGAAATTATGAATGTATAGCGTGTCCACCATGTACATGGTGGACACGGGTCCACAGTATAATTTGCCCCACACAAGCTGTGTGAACCATATTTTGTATATTATAAAATAATGTATATTTAGTACACAAGTAATGTACTATATTAAAAATGTACTTTGTATTCAGAGAAATTATATTATTTGAATACTAAAAGTCATTATTTTTTATAATGTACATTTAGTACAAAGATAATGTACTTTTAGTATATTAAAAATGTACTTTCTTTTATAATTCATACACCACTATGTGGATTATAGTCTACACAATAATTTTCTGTGTTCTGTGTTCATGGGCCCTGGATTGTATATGATTTGTTTTTTTGGGCTTAATTGAATTTTGTTATTAATTTGTATTGGGTTAAGGGATATATTTTATGTTTTGGGTAGAGGCTGAACCATATTATATTATCTTATGTGTCAAATTGCAATCGTTATATCTTACACCACGGCGCATATAGCACTGTGCGCCGTGCGCTTCCCAAAACGACGTCGTTTTGGGGTAGTGTTGGGAGACGCGGTAGGAAGTTGCTGAGATTATGTGTATTTGTTCACAACGTTATGTGTATTTGTTCACAACGTTATGTGTATTGGTTCATACAGTTATGTGTATTTTTTATACAATTATGTACATTCTTTTTATACAATTATGTACATCCGAATCAGAAAATTTGTGTGTATTATGTTAAGAGTTGATGTGTATTATGTTAAAAGTTTATGTTTATTATGTATTATGTTAGATTATGTGTATTATCTTTTAAAAAGAGTATGTATATTTTGTTATATAATTATGTACATTCATATATAACATTATGTGTATTCTAGTGTAACATTATGTACATTCTTGAACAGCGGTTTTTTTTTTTAAAGAAAAAACTACTGCCATTCACTGGGGCGGGAAATTTCAAAAAAAAAAATAATTAAAACGACGTCGTTTTGCATCTGGGCGCATAGTGCAACGCGCGCCTAGGATATAAATTGCCGTCAAATTGTAACTTGTTAGTAAAGTTTGAATAATAAAAATTTTCATAAAAATAAAATATTGGTAATTTGATGCATTAATTTGAATATAATATATAAAAAAATAATATCATATAGTGATATGATCAATATTAAGTTATAAGATTATATATTATTCTCAAATATAAAGGCATACAATACCCAAAAGAAGTCGGTAGAGAGTATTTTAACTGATAAAATCATAAAGGTTGGATTTATTAAATAGGATAAAATTTATTGGACATGTTTTTTTTTTTTTGAAAGTTTGGACATGTTAATATAGTAAGGAAGATAATTTGAAGTGATGGAGTAATTGAATTGATCACAATTATAAGTGATTTTTAAAATAAACTTTTCTTTAACATATATCTCTATTTTATGGTCAAATTAGGCAGTGATTAACAAGAAAAGTGAAAGCAATTCTGTATATATTTACAGGTTTCATTCTTCTCTTGGAATCCATTTGCTCCACCATAGGCTTTTCCTTCTTTGATTCAGCTCGTCAATACTCTCATTAATTGTTTTTATGATCTTTCTCTGAAGCCGGAGTGCGGATGCCAGAGCATTTCTTTGTGCACTTGATTTCTTCTTAGGCTTTATTTCCTGCATAACAAAACAATTTCAAGATTAAAGATTTGATGCCAGTTTTGATCTCAATGTGTGATACAATCAAATAAAGAACACACGGGGTAACCTTAGTCATCTGATGGCTAAGGATACAAACTTGTAACAACAAGATCACGAGTTCAAATCCCAGCCTTTGTTTGCGTTGATCAGCTATAGGAAACCTAGGCTGGTTTCCAGTCAGAAGGCGAGGTTTACTTGGTGCACACCCTTGGTTGTGATCCTTTGCCGGCTAGGGGCGAAGTTTACCTATTCCACACTCTCGTATACAAACTTGTAACCACAAGGTCACAAGTTCAGTTCACTTGGTGCACACCCTTGGTTCTGATCCTTTGCCGGCTAGGGGCAAGGTTTACCTACTGCACACTCTCGTATACAAACTTGTAACCACAAGGTCACGAGTTCAAATCCCAGCCTTTGTTTGCGCTGATCAGCTATAGGCAACCTAGGGGTCAGAAGGTGAGGTTTACCTAGTGCACACCCTCGGTTGTGATAGGCAACCTACGGGTCAGAAGGCGAGGTTTACCTAGTTCACACCCTCGGTTGTGATCCTTTGCTGGCTAGGGGCGCGAGGTTTACCTACTGCACACCCTCGGATACAAACTTGTAACTACAAAGTCACGAGTTCGAATTTCAGTCTTCTTGGTTTGAACCGATCAGCTATGGACAACCTAGGTTGATTTACCTCCTTGTGGTCCGTTGCCGGTTAGGGTCACAAGGCGAGAATTAACCAGGGTTGGTTTATCTCCTTGTGATCCTTTGCTGGTTAGGGTCACAAGGCGAGATTTACCAGTGCACACTCTCGGATAGTGGTTGCAGATTTCCCTGGGTCACCCCAAAAAAGATAATATAGAGCACACACAAACCCACCCTAAACTCCTGTAGTTGAGCTTCAGTGAAGCCTCCATCTTTCTGTGTTCCTGACTTTGCCATTAGCTGAATAACCCACTTTGCAGCTTCACTGTAATCCTGCTGTGTTGCTCTAAAGAACTGCAGCTTTAGGTTCTGGATGAACGACAATGCGAGCAAACCTTCTCGGTCAAAATAAGGGTGAGCCAATGCCGTCTTTGCGCTGATTCTTTGGCGTGCCTTATAGCGCACCATTGACGTTAACAGCTCCCATCCTATTCCGCCATCCAGGTCTAACAACTCGAACCCCCTCCGTAGTTCAGGGCCCGCACGAGGCTCGACTGTCTTTCTCCACGACACTAAATCATAGTCGCATCTCTTTAACTGGCGGTTGAACTGTATGAGACTATTGTCGCTCCGTAGCCCTGGAAACGCCTATAAGAGAAGAATACTATCACACTCTCAAATTTTATAGATTTAGTAAGACAGACAGAAAGGAGAAACGGCAAAAAAGGAGACGAATTTCCACACTCATTTTTGCTCCTTTCAAAACTAAAAATATGGCATCATATTTTTTAAAACAGACATTATCAGATCAATTTAGACAATAAAGATGGTGTGACAATAAGCAAAGGTTAAGTTTACCCTCTATTTTCCCCTAATATAATACCCTTGCAACAAATTATTTTGTGCTTACCATTTGTAGGAATATGAGACCGACACTGTAGATGTCAAATCTATCTGGCAAATTCAACTGTTTCAAGATATCAGCAATCACGGAATCAAAGTTAATTCTAGTTTCGAACACAAATAGATCCTTTCAGTTACCAAACCTGCCATAGAACGGGGGAAAGTGCCGTTGCAACAGGGACAGAGGGTGCAGAAGGGGTTTGCGTGCTCATAATGTATTGTTCAGGTGCTGCATATCTGGAGGCAAAACGGTAAAAACCAAAATGAGCATAAACTATCACTCTCCTGTGATCTTATCTTTGTTTTTACAGTACAAGAAAATGATAATGAATGTAATCATAGTAACGTATAAGCAGATAATGGTGAGAATATGGTTATAGTGATACACAGCCAAATAAATGATACTCCCTCCGTCCCATTTTACCTGTTTTACTTTCCTTTTTAGTTTGTCACAAAATAGTGTCATCTTTCCAAAACTGAACATAACTATCACTCTACATTTCCCAATTTACCCTTTGACTTTTCAAATTTTTAGAGGTAAGTATAATTGTACTTTGTACAAATAACACCTACTTTTGAGGGGCAAAATTGGAAAGTTAATAACATTTGTTATGTTGTATTAAAAACCATGCAAAAAGCAAATGAGACAATCAATTAGGGACGGAGGGAGTAGATGATTCAATTTTCCATTTAGAAAACAGTTTTTAAAAGTTTTTCAGTTTTCAAAATAGAAAACTGTGCTAGTAAACATAGTTTTGTTTTCTATTCTCCAATTCTCCAGTTTTCAAAAACTAGAAAAATTCTCCAGTTAGTAAACGGGCCCTTAGTTTTTGAAAC